CACACACACACACACACACACACACACACACTCACACATGACAATTCCGCGCGCGGGCGACACACACACTTAGCTGTTCTCTCTCTCTCTCTCTCTCACACACACACACACACACACACTCAATCAGTTTATGTCTGTTAGTCTTTCTCTTGTTGTCTGTCTTCCATCCGTTTTTTCCTAAGTATTTTTCTGTGCGCCCAACTGAGCACCCTTAATAGTGCCAAACAGTCGGTGGTTCCTCGTTTGGAGTGCCAACTGCACTCTTAGGGGGGCTGCTCAGTTCGGGATGTCTGTGTTGCCTGTCGGTGATGACGGATGGTCGTCGGAGTGTCCCCCTGGCTCAGCGGGTGGTGGGAACCATCAGTTTGCGGGGCTCTATCGTGATGTGAGTAGGTCATGTGCTGCTTTGCTCCGTGTTGGATGTGTAAACTGTTTTGTTTGCGCTCTGCCGCGGTCTTGCTGCCCGAGCCGCTTGCTTTGCAGGTCGTCCTCGCTGCTCTGCTGCCTTGCCGCTTACCTGCGGGTCGTGCCTCTCGTGTCTTTTGCTCGTGTGCCTTGTGGTTTGGTAGCCTTGTGGTGGTGCCTCGCGCTTCGCTGCACGGTTGCTGAGCTGTTTGTCCGTGTGCCCTGTCGGCCTTCAATGTCCTTTGCGTGCATGCCTTGTAGTTTGGTTGCCTTGTTGGTGGTGCCTCGTGCTTCACGGCACGGTTGCCGAGTTGCTCGTCTGCTTGCCCTGCTGGCCTTCTGCGTCCCTTACTTGCTTGCGCGCCTTGTAGTCTGGTCGCCTTGCTGATGTTGCCTTGCGCTGCACCGCACGGTTGCCGAGCTGCTGGTCCGCTTGCCCTGTCATTCCTTGCAGTTGTCTTTGGTGATAAGCAGTTGGGCTGCCTCTACTGTGTTGCCTGGTGCTCCACAGGGTTGTTGCCCGCTGCTATGTCCCACTTGGGGACAGTCTGCCTTCAACATGGGTCAAAGGGTTCATGACCCAAACCATCAAATATGAGGATTCCACAGATTGTCGAGGGTTCAGCCTCGTGATGAGTCGATGCAATTCTGACGAAACAATCTTGTTGTCATCAGTTTTCTTTTTTTTCGGTCCTTCGACTTTCGTGGGACTTGTATTTTTTTCGATTTGCCTGTTTTCGTCGGTGCTAGTTGTTTCTCAGTTCACTGTCTTTGCCTCGTCTTATCGTGTTTTTGTGCCCGCCCGTCTCCCCCGTGCCCACCAGCCTATGTGTTTTGTTGTTGCTTGTTATTTATGTGCCTCGTATGTCTCCTCAGTGTGCATCCAGCCTTGAGTACTGCCTCTGTGTCTCTATATACGGATGCCTTGATGCCACCCTGTGTATGGATTGTTCTGTGCAAGAGGTGATACAACCTCCCTTCTTTGACAATCGTGAATGCACACCCTGTTACGCTGCTTGCCGCGTTTGCGGGGCTCTGTTTATCTCAACACACACACACACGTTCACACACAAATATTAAAAGGCCCTGGAAAAAAAAAAACATATATTTTTTTTCCATTGCTTGATTGTTTCCTTAGGACCAAAAAAAAAACAAAAAAAAACCGTAAAAACGAAGAATACAAAGAACTGCCAACCAAAAATCCCCCCCCCAAAAAAAACTTTTTTTAAATATGGGGTTGTAGGGATTAAAATCCCTACAACCCCATATATATATATATATATATATATATATATTTTTACCCATTATTTTAATCAGGAAAAATATGGTAAAATCGCATCCGCGGCGCGGACGAGGTCGGCCGCGCACGCGGCCGTATATGAGTCCGCCATCCGAGCTCGACGCTGCGGACGCGTCTACTGGTGTTTCATAGGGCCATTTAACTTAGAAACAAAGCCTAGTCGCCCTGAACTGTTTAAGTAACCAAGTTATATATACCTTTCTGCTTTTAGTCTTTTAAGGTAGCATAGGACTGAACCATTCAACTTAGAAACAAAGTTTAGCCTGCCCCTTCTTACCATCAATTAAAATATTCCTAATTTGTACTCTCTTCATTGTGATAAGCTATAGTCAGACCATTCAACTTAGAAACAAAGTCTAACTAGACTGTTCATAAGTAAAATAATAGTAGAGTACATGTATAACTATTCCTTGGTTACAACATGTGCGTGGCTCCAGACCAAACCATTCGACTTAGAAACAAAGTTTGGTCCTTCACTTGATTTCCCTCATAATAAACAAAAAGAAATTTGAGCCATCCAACTTAGGAACAAACTCAAACTCCCTTTTTCAGAAATAATAAAGAAACATAAGGAGACTGGGTCATTCAACTTAGAAACAAAGCCCAGTCCTACTCATAAAATCCCAAAATAAATCAAGGGACTAAGCCATTCAACTTAGAAACAAAACCTGGTCCCTGAAAATGCATTCGCATGCAGCCTTCGCAAGTCAGAGCAACCAAATCCAACTTAGGAACAAAGTTTGGTCCTCCGGGCAGTCAAAATAAACATAGCACTGGACCATTCAACTTAGAAACTAAGCCCAACCTTTGGTCGACCCAGTCAATCGCAAGCAAAACCACTTTCCCCCTGCCTTCCACCAATTCACAACCCCTTTTCAATCTGAATTCAGACAACGAACAAAAAATGGAACTGAGATTGCGCATGCATTCCTTTGCTCGACTCTGATTTAAGTCTGGAAAGTCAAACATAAGATCAATAGGGATGCGTGCAGTATACTCAATCAAACTGTAGCAAGATATACAGGTAAGGGTTTTAGTCGGGTTTATAGAAGGAGATGAAGATTAACACTCAATTCCCTACCTCCAGAACCTCGCATAGGTTCCGACAGAGATCCCGCAATCGGTGGGGCAACCTCCTACGAAGGCCTTGGTATGAATAACGGGTGTCAATCCCGGCTGTCGTCTTCCTCCTTGAACCAATAGACTGGACTAGGAGTAAGAAGGACAGAAGAAGAGATATTTAGTCGCTCAGATACAGGAGGGTTGCACTCAGACTCACGTGAGAGGGCCTTGATTCCTTGACGCGCCTGAGGGCCCCGCAATGGTGGCCAAAATCGTAACAGGATGGCCAACCCATAGCCACACTCAGAACAATAGCATTCCGATGAATCTCCAATTCGCAACAACGACCTCCTCCTAAAGTCGTGACACCACTCCCCTTGACCAAACTGTAGTTATGAAGTCAAGAAGAGCCATATTTGAATAGAGCACACCCCTTTTGCTCTATCCGACTGCAGACAATGGCGCAACAATATGCCGCAGACCAGCATACACAGCAATACACGGTGCTTGATGTTTATCAGCAAACCGTGTGCATCAGCAACCAAGGCACCGCAACAAGGCACACAACAACGGGTCACAGTAGTACTGCTCAAACATCAAAGATATCATGCCCCAACACCACATAACAAAAAGGATAACGGTTTAGGGCCCTCCTACCTGACCGCCAGAGTAGCATCACAAGTACCATAAACAGTCGTGCTTGCAGGGAACCGACAGTACTTATAAAAGAAATAGTTGCCCTGCTGAAACAAGCAACAACAATCTTGAGTTCGACATTGTCACACTGTGTTGTTGTGTAATTGCAGGCAAAACTAGAATGCTGACTTTAGCAGCCAACAACTTCCCAATCTTAGCAGCAACACTCGTTCCTAGCAGTTGCAGCGCCGGTTCCTGACACATCTCAATCGTGATAATACCCGACTTCCGACGACAGCAACCATGAACCCTTGCTATGTTCGAACATACAAGTCACTCAACCAACCAAGAACAACCATGTACCACCTCCCATAGAATCAAGAAAGAGCTCTCAATTTGTCAATCCACAACTATGCCCACACTAACTGAGCCCGTTTCTTCTCCCTTCCTTTTCTCAACCTCGATCTTCTCACCTTCAGTTGTCCCTCACGTACGAGCTTTCCTGATCCCCCGACCAAGTTAGTTCGAGGTCTGTAGTAGGCAACAGACGGGGAGAAAAACGGCTAACTGGAGGAAGGACATTCGCGATTACCCTAGTAAACAACAAACTCCCTAGGCAACAGACGGGGCAAAAATCGACTGTGGGTAGTGTGCAGTGAGGAGGGCGAAGGCAAGCAGGCGACCCAGGTGAAGAGGGGTATCGCTAGAAAGGCTGAGTGGTGATATTGGGTGTTTCGCAGTGTGATGAGAACTATCTGATGTGCGATTGATGTTGAGGTTGAACGGCGGTATAATGCTGGTTGTGCCAAGGCAATGATTGGTCATCACAATCGACGTCGGCTCATCTGGTTAGAATATCTGTGGTTGGGGGCAGCTATTTTGAGGTACGTTGCTCTTAGCCTTATCTGCCCTCTTCGACACTTCTTACCGTGAGGATGTGTGTTTTGTCTTGAGAGTCCTCTCATGTGAGGAGTCGAGTGCGCTCAACGTTTAGAGTCGACATTGTTTACGTGGAGCATTTGGAAGGAGAGGGTGTTGCCATATGAAGGGCCCTAGATGAAGCACTGGGTCACGGTCACCATGCCAACCAGCTGGGAATAGAGCACGCATGCTTTGCTGCTTTGTCCTTTGTCTGCCAGCTGCGCTATAGATAAGTCATGAGGGGCAAGCCAGCCCTACAGGGAAGACGGTCTATAAATAAATGCTAGCGGGTTGCCTTCCATTGGTTGTGATCGTCGTCCTGTTTGAGACGTTAAATAATTTCTGAGGACCTCGGGAGCCGTCCTTAAACTGCCTCTTGATCAGCCAATCGGCCGGTGTAAGGCTCGCTGCACGCGAGGGTAAACATGGTGCAGGGCTGGCCAACTCAGCATTGAGTTGGGGCACAGGGGTGGGCCGTGTGCACACCTTTACACACGCATGCTATTTGGATTGCTCAGGAACGCTGAAGTTAAGTGACATCAAGAAGAATTGAGGGAGGAGTAGATTTTAGGTGATAAGTTCGGGAAAAATTCCACTTTGCAAACAACCATGCAAATGAGTCTATTTTTATTTTGATTGATTAGATGTACAACCAGTAACACATTTGACAGACAACATAGGTAGAACTTTTTGTTTCTCCTTATTGGGTTTTTGTTTGTGAACTAGTCAAATAAAATATTTTCGTTTGTAGCAATCTGGACTTACCTGTTGGACCCAATTGTGTATTCTCTGACAATGTCACCGATTAATTAATTTTATTATTTTAAATCGGTCTGAGCACTACGTTGCGGTAGGCAACCAAGTGACCCCTAGTGCAGATAGTGCACAAAGCTAAAGCATATGAGCGACAGGGAGGACTCTTAGCCGGACAATCGGGTCCTGCGTTCGTCAAGCCGTCGGCGCCCGTTGGTCCACGTAGCATTAGGACCCGAGGGTGACCGTCTTCTGTTCCGCTAGGCTACGGAGAGGCAGCGTCAACTGAGGTTGGCAAGGGACGCAGAGGCAAGCAGAGCCTTCGCAAGTGAGGTAGCTACCTAAGCAGCCACCATGGCCACCTCTGCGCAACAGAGCTCCCAGGCCAGTAGTTCAAGGACTGTTGGGGCGACGGTCGCATAGACCCATAGCCAGTCCGCTAGTGTCATGGCAAGCCAACAAATTAGTGTTAACTCCCGAGGAGGTCACCATTCAGAGAGCCAGGGCTCGCGAATCACAGCTACAACAGGCATTACATAAGATACAGGCAAACAAGGAGAGAATGATCAGACGTAGGTTAAGGATGCAGCGGTGCAGACTGCCGTAATAGGGCTGCTTGCCGTCTCGCAGTCAGCACAACCGCAAGGCACGACCCCAACAGCAGCCAGTGCAGCAACCTGCACCCTAGGCCCCACAACCTGGACTAGTGCAGGCATCGGTACAAAGACAGTGGGTTCCCAAGGCTGCCATCGCATCACCGAAACCCTTCTCAAGAGATCAAAGGAAGTGCTTGTGGCTGCCTCCTATCTGGAAGGGAGTGCAACAAGGTGGTTAAGTGGGTACGTGCAGTTATAGGGGTACGGTCATGACTTCTGCGCTTGGGCAGTCACCCAGAAATTGGATGATTTCCTCAAGCTGGTGGAAGAAAGGTGGCATGACCCGCAGGAGGCTCAATAGGCCACCGGCGGGATATTGACGATGAGCTCAAGGAAGTTCAGGTTAGTAAGGGATGCCACGAACGCGGTTGAACGTCTGTTCTGTGTTCCTGGAGTGTGCTACGACCCCCAGGTCTTACTTATCACTTACCTGAGGTGTCTTCCCATAGAGCTCAGGAATCAGTTGGCCGGTGAGGCTATGATCACAGTCCACAACTTTCCCTCGTTCAGCAAAAAGGCCCTAGATCTAGAGGCAAAGATCGGGCATGGACACCAACCCACTACAGATGGTAGGAAAAAAACACCCTTCCTAACTTGAAGGCCAACAGGCACATCATGTTCGTTGACAACGATGGTACTACCATAGAGTTAGACGACTACTTCCAGATGGGAGGAGGGTAAGAGTCGGGTAGCGCAAAAGCTTCAGGGGGTGGAGCACTCGCTGCCTCAGTTCAGAAAGGTAAGGCGACTGATAGATGTCGTGGAGGTTCCCGGTCAAAGAGTCAAGTAGACCCCAATGCTCCTCTATGGGAGAAAGCAGGGCTTACTGAGGACGTGTGGAGAGATCGTTACTCCCTTGCAGCTTGTATCCGTTGTGGCCAGAATGGTCATACCCAGTTTAAGTGTCGGAATCGTAGAGTGACAGGAAAGATCCCGGCTATGATGGGGTAGGCGTAGGTCTCCTCCGCTTCCCAAGTTAGCAATGTAGCCAGCAGTTTTGGCACTGCTTCGGAAACACGTCGGGCCAGTAGGAATTGTAGTTGTTCCTGCTAGGGTCGAGGTGGTAGAAACACACTCATCATCTCGAGAGATGGCCCAAGCTATTGACTCTGTCGTCGTCCCGCAAGCACATTCAAACCAATTGATCCTCTGTCCGATGAATGTGTTTGAGTCCTTAAAGGAGCTAGAAGAGGAGTGGTCTAAATCAGACCCACTAGCTTCTTGGACGACGATGGTTAAAGCTCCTAAGGGTGAGTTGTTCGTTGGCGAAGTAGATATAGGCGGCCGTATTATGATACTTGTTCGAGGAGGAACTTTATCAGTCGCGCTTGCATTGAACGGCTGCGCTTACAGGGGCAAGTGTAGCGCCTCAATCGACCTGTGGAGTCGACCTGTGCCAACAAACATCACATGGTAGTCAAATGACTACCTGAATCCCGTACGTGGGAGGGGAACTGAGACATAAAATCTTGTTCCTAGTCAGCGATGAACTCCCTATGGATATCTTGTTGGGCTTACTTGGGGTTTCCCTTTTCCGGTGTTCTTTTTTGCTTTGCATTTTTTTTCTTTTTTCTTTTTTCTTTGTTTCTCCTTGTTTCTTTGTCCTTCACCGTATACATATATACCAGTACTATTCCCGATTAAAGTCATGAGTGAGTTGCTTGCTTGCTCGAGGACAATTGACTGTGCGGTTGCTGCGAAGCGGAGCCTGTGAAGCGAGGTTGTTTTTCGGTTATGGCGGACTGGGATTTCACGACTGGAGTGGAGGAGGACCTACCGATAACGGAGGAGCCTGAGGAGGAAATCAAAGCGGAAGAAGCGGTATATGGTCCTGGATCTCCTCTCTCTGTGTATGTATGGGATATGGCCGTCTGTGTTGGTCTGTGTATGGATGTGCTTTTCTTGCAGGATTGTAACCCCTCTGATGAGACGGTTGAGTGGCAACGGTGAAAAAGCTTTTAGGGGAGCCACACCCCTCCTGCGGCTACGATTGATCCATGAAGTACAACCGGCCTCCCACATGTTTTTTCCCAGACGTTCTGTCAAGTCGGACTTCACTGCTAGTTGGCTATGTTTGGTATCTGAGTATAGGAGTGGATTAAAGCTAAAATTAGTCGTCTGATTACGGTCCTCTTATGGCTATGACCTGAGTTTGGATTTTGCCCGCATGGATCTCTTCTATTAGTAACGCTGCTCTTGGTGATCTTCTAAAGTTTTGTTGATCTGGAAAGCTATTGTTGCTATACTTTGAGTTCTCCAACTATCAATTGACTTGGATCTTGATTCTGGTTGTTATCAGCCCCTGCCCTCTCTGGCTCCGTCCTTATCTTCCGCACCCCAAAAGTGGTATCGCTTTCCCCAACTATGGTTACCTCGCACCCAAGCTTCCATTCTTTCTTCCCCCTCGTCCTCCTCCGGGGGTGTGCGGAGCATCAAACAACGTTCACCGCCCATCTGCCTGGATGGGCTTGTTGATTCCTGGTTGCTGTCATGCCCTTCCCGTTTGAAACTTGCATAGACTAACACTACCCCTGATTACCTCACTCGTGCTATTGCAATCCCTATTCCCCCCTTGTCTTTTTTGTTGGATGGATCGCCCTGCTTGATATGCTTTGAATGAAATAAATGAAGGAATCGATACCCATGGATATTGAAGCCATCTTTGTCATTTCTGCATATGGGGACATCGAGCTTGGTGGCTAATTAACGGTATGATTGGGACATGACCGGACCTGGCGTACCACCGTACTAGTGGAGTGCATGACGAGTACGTCATAGGATCAGTTAGACACACGCACACACACACACACACGCGCATGCAGTAGTGTATACTTCCATGTTCTAGCGGAAGATTCATTCGATAGTGCTCATCCTATCAATGGAAGTAACGTGAGGCCAGCCGCGAGGTTGGAGACTTACCTGTTGGCCGGTGCGTTGCTCATACCCCAAGGTCGATTGACCGCCTCTCTCTCTCTCTCTCTCTCTCTCTCTCTCTCTCTCTCTCTCTCTCTCTCTCTCTCTCTCTCTCTCTCTCTCTCTCTCTCCGCGCGCACGCGCGTGCACGGGTTGTCGAAGGGTGCGGTGTCCCGGCCCTCCGCTGCGTACCAGACATGTCTCTTATACACATCTAGATGTGTATAAGAGACAGCTCTCTCTCTCTCTCTCTCTCTCTCCGCGCGCACGCGCGTGCACGGGTTGTCGAAGGGTGCGGTGTCCCGGCCCTCCGCTGCGTACCAGACAAACTCACGGAGCTACGGTGGTGTACCAGGTCCTTTGGGTTATACTTTGCTGTGGGACTGGTCTGTTCGACGTCACTGGTAACGCCGTTGGGTTTACCTTCGGTCCACGCAAGCTCGGTGCCCAGCTGTGCAGTTGAACACAGCTAGTTTGTGGCCATGACAGCCGTCGGGCCCGCTCAGGGATGAGATAGTGAAAGCCTGGAGCAGTCGCTCTGAAGTACGCATCGAGCCCCTATGGCTGGGTTATGATGACGACGGCTGCTGTCAGTCATAGAGAAATACAGAAAAGGAAAAGAAAATAAACAGGGGAAGGGGTGAACGTGGAGCCTCAGATCCGTGCCTAGACCTGGATTGATGCTTTTGTGTCTCGGGGTCTAATGGCTTTAGTCAAGTTTAGTGATGTAGCGGCGCAAAGAGAATTTTGAAGCACCGTTTTCCCGTCTGCTATTATTACTATCATTGTTATCAATTTCTTTATTTAAAATTTATTTCGGTCACCTCGAGGGAAAACGGACGGTTTATTTTCCAAACGTGACTAAGGAGAGGTGGCCTAGAATGGCTTGGCCCTTCGCGTTCACTCCATTCCTGGCGCAGGACCCCAAAAGAGGGGCAACCCGCGCCCACATTGGTAGGAGGCTTATAACCTTGCACGGAGGGTCATAAGCCCGCTCCTTGCCATCGGAGGCGGGTACCCGCCAGGAGTAGCCCGGTGGCATGTTTAGAAGGGAAAAGGACGGCCATCGGTATCCAGTTATGGGACTGCCGAGCCTAACATGTGGTCGCTTCACACCAGGGCATGAAGCTACTAGTGGTTGACAGTGGAAAGCCCTGCTAGCGCTACGACCGTTGAGTATCAGCCTCTCGTTATCTTCATTCCATTTTTTTTAATTCAGTTTTAACTTATTCTATTTTGTTATTTTCTGAATTAAACTTTAAGATCTGTTTGAGTCTCTCGTTCAGAACACAGGGGTCGAGGTATGCGACGACCCTATAAAAGGGTAACTAACATTTGGCTACTTGGGCAAGAGCAATCTCACTACGCCGAGTATTGGTGAACCAAAGAGAGAGGGTTAGGCGGCGTGGTGAGTGTGCGGGAGACCGTCTGTGCGCGCATGCTCATGCTCTGAGTATTCGGCCCTTGCTATCTCGGAACTCTGCGGCCTGGTACAGTGTACGGTTCAATCGAGAGGGGCTCGACCATGGTGCACAGCAGTGGGTTGTTTGGCTATAGGCCAGGGTACCTCCAGTTCCTTTGGAGGTGGGAGCGGATGTCTGGAGAAGGGCCTACAGTGACAGCCATATTGGACTGAAGCCACAAATTGAAAGTAAACGTAGAGGGCGGAAAAGAGGAAGAAATGAGAGCGGACCAGGGACTGCAGGCGGCCATCATGGAGGCCAAGGATCGGGCTGAGAGGAGGTGCAGGAGAGACGGGGTCACATATGGAGTGAAAGTGACCGTTTCTTACCTGGAAGCGGATACTTCGACGGATGCAGTAGAGCGAGAGCAGGAGCATTTTGACTAAGAGTGAAGCGAGCGATTTGGGCGTAGAGACCCAGTCCTGGCATGGGCTGGACCAGTGGCGGAAGGACCACCCGCCGATCGAGCTTGTAGAGAGCGTCTCAGAGGCCAACTCACGACGACGACGGCAAGAATGAGGGCTCGAGACAGTTACAAAAAAAGGGGGACGCCTGGCAATTGACACAGAGAGAGAGGCGTGCAAAAAGACGAGCAGGGAGGTGAGCATACAAAGTGTGTTACGTGCGAGTGGTCACGGTGAGGGTAAGGGTGAGGATGCAAAGCAGGGACGTGAGTGGCTGGCTTTGTTTTGGGAGAGCCCTCGTAGGGTTTGTATTGACTGGCGTCTGCCCTCATGGTGGTGGCATCCATTCTCCATTCTCGAAAATGCCCTACACTTGGGCACATGTGATGATGTCATCTGCCTCCGTGCACGATTTCTGGCGCTCATCATATTGACCCTGGAACCGTAGGAGCACACCGCTGTGCATCTTCTGTTCTTGAGTGTGTGATGAGTGTCACCACCTGTTTCCTCGCTGAGATTACCGATCAGAAGAGATCGAACTCCGAACGTGACTCGTTTTAAGAGGGGGAGTGTGCGTAAAAGCATGTGCTGAAACTGGGCAAGTGCGAGAGAGGAGTCTGATGTGGAAGTGAAACGCGTGCACAAGACGCCTGATGGATTATGAGTCATTGTGGATACCGACTTCGCCAAGAAGAAGTAACGACTACCAATGAGCGCGTGTATAGTATACGGGACCTAGCTGGTAGTGAGAAAGAGGGCGTGGGTAAGCTCGACCATTACGGTTGACGTCACTGGCTATGACAATCTTCTTCTTCCTCCTGTTTCCTTTCTTCCCCTTCCCTTTTCAACCCTCGCGTGGGCGGCGGTGACAATCGGTATCACAGTCAGCTCCACTCTCGTATCAGTACCTGATGGTAGGCGAAAGTTGAGGGTGAAGGTTATGAGGGAACGGGCGCTAGGATCGGGGTTAGCCGCGAGCCGGGAGGAGAGTAAAGTCGGACCAGCGTGCATAAATCCCAGAACGTGTGTTCCGAGTAGGGTATGGGCTAGCATCGACTTCCCTTGGTAAAAAAACTAACTAGCGACGAGCACTCTGGCAGCATGCGGAGTCTAATCAGTGTCTGAGAGAAGCATTGAACAGTATTATATAGGACCGCCCACCATTGTTGACGTAACCTCTTTCCCAGATGTGACGGACCCGTGGCGACTACGATGAAGAGAGGTCACGGGGCATTGTCTGTGTCAAGGCCTATCAAGTAAGGAGGGCTCACATGTTCGCCAGATGGATGCTGTCGAGTAAAAGGCAGGATGGGCGAGAAGCATGCGTTACTGGGGAGGACGCCTGTGAGAACGCGCAAAAGGTCTATAGAAGGGTAACTTGGTGGACTTCAGCGTGTTCCAGAGCTTGCTCACCCCGTATCATCTACCCTGGCCATCACCCCCATTCTGAGCAATGGTACTAGTGACGTGTTGGATACTGTCAATCAAGTATCGTGTGAGAGTTAAAAGAAGTCAAAGTTCTAAATGAGTGTTGATGGGCACTAGAGACTGGTACTGGGTGCTAACTGTAGATGATTCGCACATATGACAAAAACTGTAATCGAATACGATTTATGATTGGGCACTAGAGACTGGTACCAGTGAGTATTTTGTTGGTAACCCGTCACAACCCGCAATGTTGTCACCCCTAATTACAAAAGGAAAATGTCATTTATAGGAAGCCTTGAATGAGGGACATATCGAATGAAAGTTGAGACGCTCGGGTAAACGGGGTACTCTCTCTCTTATACTGGCGGATTGTGGTTGACGCCAACTGTTCAAAGCGTCTTCATCTCTATCAGCTCCTATGTACTGTATTGGTGACTTGGACGATAATTTTCCCCTAATTGGCAGGCGTTGGACTCTTGTAATCAATCTAGCACATCGTATCTCGCATATGCCACGAGTGACAGTTCGGTGGTGATGTGTATTGAGGGTGGTGATAATACTTGATCATTCTGATCTGTCTTCTACTGATAAGGGTCGTGGAAGCAAGAGACCTTTCTAGGATTTGAGCTGTCAAACCGACTATTCGGATAAGATTATGAAAAGTATCTAAAGCTTTCACTTCCTATTTATGTGTGTTTAACCCTCACCTCCGCCTTTTGCTTGTTTGGGCTGCCTACAAAATTATTAATCAGGGGCCTCGCCCCTTTTGTTATTGTAAAAGTAGTATGAACAAC